CCCAAATTAATACGTAAATATGGCTATCCCTCCGAAACGCATACAGTTGTAACCAAGGATGGTTATATACTGGAAATGCATCGCATACCAAAGAAAGGAGCACAACCAGTGCTGCTAATGCATGGCATTTTAGATACCTCAGCTACATGGGTGTTAATGGGTCCCAAATCAGGTTTGGGTAAGTCGAGACAAATTTAACTAATAGAAAACAATGTTTGGCTATAAATTTCCTGCTCCTCTTCCTTCCTTAGGTTACATGTTATCCGATTTAGGTTACGATGTTTGGATGGGTAACTCACGTGGTAATCGTTATTCGAAAAATCACACTAGCCTTAACAGTGATTATATGGAATTTTGGGATTTTACATTTCATGAAATGGGCAAATATGATTTGCCAGCAAATATTGATTATATTTTAGCCAAGACCGGTTACGATCAACTGCATTATGTGGGACATTCACAGGTGTGTTTGACTTAAGCTAAAGCAATTGGAAATCATTTTAATAACAATAATTTTTCTCTAGGGTACTGCTGTATTTTGGGTTTTGTGCTCGGAGCAACCACAGTATACACAGAAAATACTTTCCATGCATGCTTTAGCACCCATCGCCTATATACATGACATGAAAAGTCCGCTCTTCCGTACACTGGTATTATTTTTAGATTTTCTAACGGTAAGTTCTTTGGATTTTCAATTTATGTTCAAATACATTTTTCATTTAAAATGTTCTTTCATTGCAGGCTGCCACACGCATGTTACGCATCACGGAATTTATGCCAAATACAAAATTTCTTGTCGACCACAGCCAAGTGGTGTGTCACGACAATGCCATGACACAGGATGTTTGTTCCAACATTCTCTTTTTGGTTGCTGGCTATAATTCTGAACAATTGAATAAGGTTTGTATCGGGCACTCACATGCACACTTTTGTTCCCAATATGAATGGTATTTGTTTGTGGATTTTAGTTATAAGTGAAATGTTTCATTCAAGTAACTATAAAGAAATTTGCCGCAGAAGGTAGACTGTAGTTGCTGTAGAGGTGTTATTTAACCAACATTATGAAAAATTTTATTTAAAACCGTTAGAGTTAAGCGACAACTCTTTATAATTATAATTATTTCGATTACCTAATCTTGCCATCTCAAATGCAGATCTTCTAAATTATCTCCTTAATTTACAGAATCATTCCCATATTTGAGCTCCTAAATTAACAGAATCAATTGGGACATATCATAATCAATTGGGACATATTTGAAATGTTTATATGATTATTCGAAGGTTAGCCATTTTGGGATAACTGGCGAATTCTATACATGCATACTACGTTGACAGGATTTTCAAAATGATGCTGCCTAAGTCCAAATTGTTTCAAGTATTGCCTCTCTTAATCTTCTTCTTAGTTCAGTTCTAGTTCAGTTCTAGTTTCTAGTTCAGTTCTAGTTCAGTTCTCTTCAGTTCTAGTTCAGTTCTAGTTTCTATTTCAGTTCTAGTTCAGTTCTAGTTCAGTTCTAGTTCTTCTAGTTCATTCTAGTTCAGTTCTATTTCAGTTCTAGTTCAGTTCTAGTTCAGTTCTAGTTCAGTTCTAGTTCAGTTCTAGTTCAGTTCTAGTTCAGTTCTAGTTCAGTTCTAGTTCAGTTCTAGTTCAGTTCTAGTTCAGTTCTAGTTAGTTTAGTTCAGTTCTAGTTCAGTTCTAGTTCAGTTCTAGTTCAGTTCTAGTTCAGTTCTAGTTCAGTTCTAGTTCAGTTCTAGTTCAGTTCTAGTTCAGTTCTAGTTCAGTTCTAGTTCAGTTCTAGTTCAGTTCTAGTTCAGTTCTAGTTCAGTTCTAGTTCAGTTCTAGTTCAGTTCTATTCAGTTCTAGTTCAGTTCTAGTTCAGTTCTAGTTCAGTTTCTAGTTCAGTTCTAGTCAGTTCTAGTTCAGTTTCTAGTTCAGTTAGTCTAGTTCAGTTCTAGTTCAGTTCTAGTTCAGTTCTAGTTCAGTTCTAGTTCAGTTCTAGTTTCAGTTCTAGTTCAGTTCTAGTTCAGTTCTAGTTCAGTTCTAGTTCAGTTCTAGTTCAGTTCTAGTCAGTTCTAGTTTCAGTTCTAGTTCAGTTCTAGTTCAGTTCTAGTTCAGTTCTAGTTCAGTTCTAGTTCAGTTCTAGTTCAGTTCTAGTTCAGTTCTAGTTTCAGTTCTAGTTCAGTTCTAGTTCAGTTCTAGTTCAGTTCTAGTTCAGTTCTAGTTCAGTTCTAGTTCAGTTCTAGTTCAGTTCTAGTTCAGTTCTAGTTCAGTTCTAGTTTAGTTCTAGTTCAGTTCTAGTTCAGTTCTAGTTCAGTTTAGTTCCGTTCTCTAGTTCAGTTCTAGTCTCAGTTCTAGTTCAAGTTTCTAGTTCAGTTCTAGTTCAGTTCTAGTTCAAGTTCTAGTCGTTCTAGTTCAGTTCTAGTTCAGTTCTAGTTCAGTTCTAGTTCAGTTCTAGTTCAGTTCTAGTCAGTTCTAGTTCAGTTCTAGTTCAGTTTCTAGTTCAGTTCTAGTTCAGTTCTAGTTCATTCTAGTTCAGTTCTAGTTCAGTTCTAGTTCAGTTCTAGTTCAGTTCTAGTTCAGTTCTAGTTCAGTTCTAGTTCTGTTCTAGTTCCCCAGTTCTAGTTCAGTTCTAGTTCAGTTATAGTTCAGTTCTAGTTCAGTTCTAGTTCAGTTCTAAGTTATAGTTCGTTTAGTTTCAGTTCTAGTTCAGTTCTAGTTCAGTTCTAAGTTCAGTTCTAGTTTCAGTTCTAGTTCAGTTCTAGTCAGTTCTAGTTCAGTTCTAGTTCAGTTCTAGTTCAGTTCTAGTTCAGTTAGTTCTATTTCATGTTCTAGTTCAGTTCTAGTTCAGTTCTAGTTCAGTTCTAGTTCAGTTTACTAGTTCAGTTTCTAGTTCAGTTCTAGTTTCAGTTCTAGTTCAGTTCTAGTTCAGTTATAGTTCAGTTCTAGTTCAGTTCTAGTTCAGTTCTAGTTCAGTTCTAGTTCAGTTCTAGTTCATTTAGTTCAGCAATTCTAGTTCATTTCAGTTAAGTTGCTAGTTCAGTTTCTAGTTCAGTTTCTAGTTCAGTTCTAGTTCAGTTTCGTTAAGTTCTGTTCAGTTCTAGTTCAGTTCTAGTTCAGATTCTAGTGCAGTTCTAGTTCAGTTTCTAGTTCAGTTCTAGTTCAGTTCTAGTTCAGTTCTAGTTCAGTTCGAGTTCAGTTTCTAGTTCTAGTTCAAGTTCTCGTAGTCAGTTCTAGTTCCGTTCTAGTTCAGTTCTAGTCAGTTCTAGTCAGTTCTAGTTCTAGTTTCAGTTTCTAGTTTCTATTTCAGTTCTAGTTCAGTTTTTCTAGTTCAGTTCTAGTTCAGTTTCTAGTTCAGGTTTCTAGTTCAGTTCTAGTTCAGTTCTAGTTCAGTTCTAGTTCAGTTCTAGTCTTCAGTTCTAGTTCAGTTCTAGGTCAGTTCTAGTTCAGTTCTAGTTCAGTTCTAGTTCAGGTTCTAGTTCTAGTTCAGTTCTTAGTTCAGTTTCTAGTTTCAGTTCAAGTTCAGTTCTAGTTCAGTTCGTGTATGTCATAAACATTTTCCAAATAAAAATTTTCTCTTAACAATATTTTAAAATTTTTATATTTTAAGTTTTTCCCCTATTTTGTCTATATTCCCTCCACATATTTTGAAGAAGTTTTCTTTATACGACCCTGTTTTCTATTTCAGACTACTTGTTTTCCGACAATATTTTAAAATTTTTATATTTTAAGCTTTTTCCCCTATTTTGTTTATATTCCCTCCACATATTTTGAAGTAGTTTTCTTTATACGACCCTGTTTTCTATTTCCGACTACTTGTTTATTATAATTTTCAATTTGCATACACTTTACTCAATAACATTTATGGCACCAAAATTATTAAGTAGACCAATTTATTAATAATGTCTCAATTATGTCATAAATATTACAATAACAAAATCACAACTTGAAAGTAAAATGAAAAAAGTGGCAAAATTAAACTACTTATACAATACTGAACATTAACAATTACTAGACAAATAGATCGTCATGTGAATGTACAGTGGTGATCAAAGTGAAAAAGCATTGATATAACGAAAATTTTCTGCAACTAAAAAGTTATTATTAAAATCACTTCAGTTCAGATAGGAATGATTATAAATGTGCATCGGCTTTCGCATTTCCATTAAGGATCGATGAGACTTCAAAAGGTAGTTGTGATCCTGCAGATTTTATGTTAGCCGAGCAAATGTTTTCAATTAGAGTAAATAATGTTGAGTGGTTTTTAATTTGAAAATGGTCTTCTACCAACCGGTCGATTTAAAAGTGTTTTAATGAAATTGCCAGGGATTGCATTTTTTAATATACGTTGATTTGTTAATATTTTAATCCACACTGTATCTAAAATTACAATATGTTTATTTAAAGAGTCAGACATATGTACATACATAAGTACAAACATAAGTGAGCAATATGACATAGCATGAAATGGTAGTGAGAGTGGCATGTCATGTGGCATATGTGGTATTCCATAAGCCAAACTATAAACTAAACATAAAATACACAAATTTGTTGGCTTCCTATTTGTTCAAACTGCTCACAAACACACAAATTTACATGAGACTATAAATGACTGGGTCACCCCATCGGTTGCTTATTCCAAGAAATGGAGAATAATGACAAAAACAAAATTAAAACTCTAAAACAACAAAACACCGGAAGGGCATCATGTCGCAAAATTTTGACATACAACGCCGTTAGGTTTAACTACACACAAGCATAGAGTATCATACACTTGCAAAAGTTGATGTATATACATATGTATGTGTAGCTGTGTAAAATTTACATAACATTGTCTACATTATGTAAAGTACAAACATATGTATGTTTCAGTGGAATACAACAACAAAAACAGTAAAAACTCGAAATGTCTACATAACCATGTGTTGTACTTCTAGCATTCTTTTAGTTAAGCGGAAATTTTGTTGTTTTGTCACAGTTTTCGCTAATATGCCCGAAAACAGTATAGCCTACTGGCTCAATATTGCAACATTTTAACATTAAAGTCGCGTGAGCATATGAGTATTTTGACCTCCACATGTTTAATTATGCCACAAACAAAATTCTAACTTTGTCTCTCTATGGCCTAACTTCCTCGCAGTAATTGTCTCATACACACATATATACATATTTGCACTTAATTGCAAGCGGCCTTAAAGCGGAAGTAATACATTAACATGTGACCACATATTGCACAGTTTATCACTACTGCTCATCAATGTGGCCATAGTCATTGCCTTCTTCGCCATCATCATGTGTCACCACCACCAAAGGATTGTAAATTTAACTTTCCACTGACAATGTGTTAAAATACAAGAAAAAACTGAACGAAGAACGCGTTTCATGAATGTAATTATAGTAATGAATTTATATTGAGTAATCAAGAGCAAATGGGTCTAATTTGATTGTTGGGAATCAGAATGGGATTAGAGTTAGTAAAAGAGAATTGTGGTTGCGAATATTTCATCATATTACCTTGGCAAAATAAATTATAACCAGATTTTGAAATTGTTCTACTTCTACACAGAAAAAACTGAAAATGTGTTTTAATTATCAAATTGATTGTATCAAGCAAGTTTTGCACCTATCAACAAAATGATGATATCAATTATGAAATTTGTAAAAAATATTTTTTTCCAATTAAAGACATAATCAAAACAATTAACATCAGTAATTAAATTCAAAATTTAAAATTAGTTAATTCATTAATTGGATAAATTAAATATTTAATAAAATAAAACTTACATTTTAATTAGTTTATTAATCAAATAAATTGAACAGTTTGGTTAAAAATGTATTAAAAATCAATAAAGTCGATGATTGAAACAATCAAAGCATTAATTGAATGCTTACAACATTAAAGGATTCCTTTACCTTTAATAATGCGTTAAGCACTCTCAAAAATATCTCTTTATTGTCACATTTGAACAAATAAAGCGATTTATAAATTTTAAAATATTTATGAAACTTCAACTTCTTATGCCTAAAATATTATTGACTATTTGAGAATTATTTTCCGTTATAAATAATGAAATTATTTAAATAAAATATCAAAACAAAAAACCAAAATAAAAAAGTAGGCTGGAAAAACTTTTTCAGCCAATTAAAAATTTAATTGATTCAATTAAAAGTTTAATCAAATTTGTATACTTAGGATCAAAGCAATGAGATAATTATGACAATTAAAAAATTGTTTAAATAAAAGTTAAAGAAAGAGGAAAACATGTTAATTGAAAATAAACTACCGATAATTTTTTCTGTGTAGTTCAATTCTAGTTCAGTTTTAGTTAAGTTCTAGTTAAGTTCTAGTTCAGTTCTAGTTCAGTTTTAGTTCAGTTCTAGTTCAGTTCTAGTTCAGTTCTAGTTCAGTTCTAGTTCAGTTCTAGTTCAGTTCTAGTTCAGTTCTAGTTCAGTTCTAGTTCAGTTCTAGTTCAGTTCTAGTTCAGTTCTAGTTCAGTTCTAGTTCAGTTCTAGTTCAGTTCTAGTTCAGTTCTAGTTCAGTTCTAGTTCAGTTCTAGTTCAGTTCTAGTTCAGTTCTAGTTCAGTTCTAGTTCAGTTCTAGTTCAGTTCTAGTTCTAGTTCAGTTCTAGTTCAGTTCTAGTTCAGTTCTAGTTCAGTTCTAATTTAGTTCTATAAAAATATAAAATAATACAACTTAAATATTATTTTGGAACTAAAAATAATTACAATTTTAATTATGTAAATCAATAATGTTTATTAAAAATTAACTATAAATACATTTTATCCCACCACTTAATTACAGACCATGTTGCCCGTCATGCTAAGTCACACACCTTCCGGAGCATCGATTAAACAACTTGAACATTTTGGTCAACTTATGAAATCTGGACATTTCCGTAAATTTGATCGTGGATATTTGCGCAATCAACTCGAATACAATCGTATGACACCACCCGATTATGATTTGAACAAGGTCAAAGTACCCGTGGCCCTCTACTACTCAATGAACGATATGCTGGTGTCGACGACGGGCGTTGATCGTTTAGCACGTGAATTGCCACAAGTTATCGACAAGTATTTGGTGCCCATGGAAAAGTTTAATCATTTAGATTTTCTATGGGCAATCGATGTTAAAACACTTGTCTATAATCGTCTTGTACGGAATATAAGACGTGTAGAGAATTTCAAATTAAAGCATAGCGCTAATTTAGCAGCAAATATGCAGCAACAACAACAGCAGCAGCAGCAGCAACACCACCAACAACGTCAGGAATTAATAAATAATCAACATACAGTTCCACTACCAGCTATGCTGCCACCTCAACTACAACCAAATCTAGCGATAGCTAGTGTTAATGCTCCAATTATGGCCAATCCAACGGCCACTACAACTGCACGAACTATAACTACTACTCATATACAGGCAGTCCAGCAACAGCAACAAACTCAGCCGCAACCCACACAGCAGGAACAGCAACCAGAGCAATTGCAAACCTTGCCAAGTATCATGACAACTGCGTGAAATTTAAAATGAGCAGTGTGATTTTTTTAAACAAAAAATTAAAAATCAATATTTAATAATTATGTTTCCTAGACATGACTATAAATTTGTATTAAGGCTATTCACAGTTTAAAATTGCACAAATATTTAAACTGTGAATTCTGAAAAACATTAACAACATTTCTGAAAACACATTATTATTAAAAATTTAGATTTTTTATGTTGGAGTTTAAAAAAAATCCACGATGTGACGTGTAAATGTAAAATGTATATTGACTGTGATGACAAATATCTACCAAAACTTCAATTTTTCCTTAATATAAAATCTTTCTGTTCCACCCATTTCCTCAGGCAATTTTCAAAACTATATATTTACACATTTATCATGAAATTTATTCTTACATTTCATTCCAGCTAAGTTCTTTATACTTCATTCGAATTTTCCTTTAACCGACTTTACATTTCATCGTCTTTAATTTTTTATCGAAAAATCCTACTTCTTTTATTCATTTAATTTATATTTCTTGTTTAATTTTTTTGTATTGTATTTTTATGTTATTTTTTTATCATGTACAAAACTAATTTAGTTTTATTAAGAACAGATTTATAAACTCAAGATGAAGCTTTTTTGTTTCTTGAAATTTTTGATTTTTGTTTAGCATGTAAATAGTTTGTAAAAAAATTAGTTTTAAAAAAAATTGTAATAGTTTTTTTGTGCAAATAAAAGTTATTAAATAAAATTAAAATACGTTTATTTTCTGTACTGCAAAATTCTTGAATCAAACACCAAATAAGACCCAAAACTACGGGTTTGTTTGATGCAAATACCATATTAGGACAACAGGACCAATTCTGGAATATAGCTGACTTTGAATAAGTTTTGTCTTTACGGAAACAACCTAGGCCGGCTTTTTCCGTAGAGAATACATGAAAGGAAAATTAAGCAGATTTAAACTAGAAGTCAACTGGAACTGAACTAGAACTGAACTGGAACTAAACTGGAATTAAACTAGAACTGAACTAGAACTGAGCTAAACCTGAACTAGAACTGAGCTAGAACTGAACTAGAACTGAACTTGAACTGAACTTGAACTGAACTAGAACTGAACTAGAACTGAACTAGAACTGAACTAGAGCTGAACTAGAACTGAACTAGAACTGAACTAGAACTGAACTAGAACTGAACTAGAACTGAACTAGAACTCAACTAGAACTGAACTAGAACTGAACTAGAACTGAACTAGAACTGAACTAGAACTGAACTAGAACTGAACTAGAACTGAACTAGAACTGAACTAGAACTGAACTAGAACTGAACTAGAACTGAACTAGAACTGAACTAGAACTGAACTAGAACTGAACTAGAACTGAACTAGAACTGAACTAGAACTGAACTAGAACTGAACTAGAACTGAACTAGAACTGAACTAGAACTGAACTAGAACTGAACTAGAACTGAACTAGAACTAGAACTGAACTAGAACTGAACTAGAACTGAACTAGAACTGAACTAGAACTGAACTAGAACTGAACTAGAACTGAACTAGAACTGAACTAGAACTGAACTAGAACTGAACTAGAACTGAACTAGAACTGAACTAGAACTGAACTAGAACTGAACTAGAACTGAACTAGAACTGAACTAGAACTGAACTAGAACTGAACTAGAACTGAACTAGAACTGAACTAGAACTGAACTAGAACTGAACTAGAACTGAACTAGACTGAACTAGAACTGAACTAGAACTGAACTAGAACTGAACTAGAACTGAACTAGAACTGAACTAGAACTGAACTAGAACTGAACTAGAACCGAACTAGAACTGAACTAGAACTGAACTAGTACTGAACTAGAACTGAACATCGCGATAAGGAATTATTTGCGGTACAAGTTATCTGTTAGCATTTTAAAATGTTTAAGAAAAACACTTACATACGAAGCTGAGTAGTTTTCATACAAAATTTTAAAATTGTTTTCTTTTTGAATTCGATCTATTAATTTTTACTTCTGGCAATACTACACTACTGTGAAAATGTCGCCTTAAGGTATACTTTACATTTTGCTAAATAAATTATAACATAATGCTGCTTCAGCGTTTTTTAAAACACTTGCAAACTAAATAAATCTTTAGTTTTATAATTATAAAATTAATTTTATATCTCAAAAAAAAGAATACAATTTGAATTATTCAAAAAATAGCATCACACTCCAACCAATAATACTATCACTCTCCAACCATATAGGTACGTAGTTACAAGAAAGTTTTTTAACAAGTAAGAAATTATAGTCGGGCGAGGCCGACCATATAATACCCTACACCTTTGACAAAAATATAATGTGATTTAGTTGCCATAATAAAGCATTTAAGTTGAATTGTACCTTGCCTTAGATATACATACTTAAGCCGTTTATTGTTGAATAAAATTGTGGACATTTAAGTGAAATTTTGATGGGGGCTTTTCATAGGGGCTAGGGTCATATGAGAACCTATTATTATGGAATTCGTGGGGGTCATCAAGTCTTGTATACAACTTGGTTATTGCAGCTTTTTGTCGAGATATGAGTATATTAAACATAATTATGAACTTAAAAGCCCTATTCGGCGGGTTCAGTTGTATGGGGGCTAGGTGAAATAATGGACCGATGTAAACCATTTTCACCAGGCTTCATCTACGGTACCATAAAAGATCATGTGCCAAATTTCATTGAATTATCTCCAAAATTGCGACCTGTAGTTTGATTACAAGTTTTAAAAGCCCTATTCGGGGGTTCAGTTGTATGGGGGCTAGGTGAAATAATGGACCGATATTAACCATTTTCAATAGGCTTCGTCTACGATACCATAAAAGATCATGTGCCAAATTTCATTGAATTATCTCCAAAATTGCGACCTGTAGTTTGATTACAAGTTTTAAAAGCCCTGTTCGAGGGATTCAGTTGTATGGGGGCTAGGTGATATAATGGACCGATGTAAACCATTTTCAACAGGCTTCATCTTCGGTACCATAAAAGATCATGTGCTAAATTTTATTGAATTATCTCCAAAATTGCGACCTGTAGTTTGATTACAAGTTTTAAAAGCCCTATTCGAGGGGTTCAGTTGTATGGGGGCTAGGTGAAATAATGGACCGATCTTAACCATTTTCAATAGGCTTCGTCCCTGGGACAATAGAAGATCATGTACCAAATTTCATTGAATTATCTTCAAAATTGCGACCTGTAGTTTGATTACAAGGATTACAAGCCCTATTGGGGGGTTCAGTTGTATGGGGGCTAGGTGAAATAATGGACCGATCTTAACCATTTTCAATAGGCTTCGTCCCTGGGACAATAGAAGATTATGTACCAAATTTCATTGAATTATCTTCAAAATTGCGACCTGTAGTTTGATTACAAGGTTTACATGGACGGACGGACGGACGGACAGACGGACAGACGGACGGACAGACGGACGGACATAGCTAAATCGACTCAGAAAATGATTCTGAGCCGATTGGTATACTTTAAGGTGGGTATAGGACCAATATTATTGTGCGTTACAAACATCAGCACAAACCCAATATACCCTCCCCACTGAAGTGGTGTAGGGTATAATAACGAAAACACATTCGTTATTAAAACTTACAAAAAAAAAAAATTTCGTAAGTGACATTTAATGACGATTAACAAAAAAGAAATGAAAGAAAGAAAAAAATCCAACTCCCTGGATGTCTGGCTGTTGAAATGACATTGATACATTGAATGCAGTTTAAATTGCAAATATGTCTTCTTGCTGTCATTGTTGTTATTTTTGTTGCTGTTCGAAATGTCTCTTAAAACAATTCATTAAACCTTGTTGTTTCTTATTTCTTTTAATACGTATGTTTTTTTTTTTTTCATTTGTATTTGCTTTAGTTTTAATTGCAGTTTTTGTTTCGTTTCCTGACATCTCTCTGCATTCGTTTTCAGTTCTTTTACCCAATATTCCTTAACACAAACTAATAGTTGAAGTAAATGAAATAAAATTGAAAGAAAATTTTGTCTTAAAAGTACTTAATACTTACATTCATTCGCATTGGAAGAAACTGCGAGAAAAGAGAAAGTTTTTTAATATGGCAAATTTAACGAAATCTTCCGTTGAGCTGAAAGGAATATTCGGTTTAAACTGAAAATTGAATTTCTATTATTATTCGGCGGTAAGAGAAAAATCTGTTGAATCCGTTTGTGAAGGTTTGAAAGAGGAACTTCTTTAAAATATCGAGCACATGTTTTACTTTCCATATTCGAAGAAATTTTCCCGGTATATTGTTTAACTCGAATTAAGAAAATGTTAATTAAAATAACAAATACCAACCGAATAGTACGCCCTGAAGAAAACTATTTCGGTAGGTCTTTTGAAAAATCGTATTTTGTGCGTATGAAGAAATAAAACAAATTTTATTTCGTTGTTGTTGTTGTTGTTTTTATTCGAAATTGAATACTCTGTAGAATTTAAGAGTAGTGGTAGAAATGTATGACGAGTGACAGTTAAAGGATTTAATTATAGAGAACTTGTGAATTGTTAAAATTTTTGATGCTTTTACCAGGTTTAAGGTATGGGGCTAATGATATTCTCTAAGGGGCCTATTATACTCCGACTTAAGAGCGTCTATAGAAGGTCTTCACCTGTGGGTCCTATTGTGTTTTCAACAGACGGACACACAGGCTGTTAGACGGACATAATAAAATAGTCTTAGGATCAAATTAGTAAATATGGTCTTTGGTTCAAGTCTTATATTTCGATATATTTTTTGGTGGTTATATAATTATACAAGCCAACAAAATTTGCAAAATGAAACCTAGAGACCAATGTATACTTTTGAGCTCAACTCGAATCTCTTAAGTATATTTTGAGCTGAACTCGAATTTCAAAAACTATCCATCAAATCAGGGTTTCGAGTTTTGATAACCTATATGTTTATAAAATCCACTTTTTTTAGCAATATTTAAGAATTTATAACAGTCCGAAGACAATCCCAATTTTAAAATTCTAAATTAACGCTTAATCTCTTTCATAACTCCTTCCATTTTACAAAAAATTCAACGGACAATATCTCAGAAAATACTAAGGATTTTTAAACAAGTAAAAAATTACATATGCCAATAATGTTTCAGTCCAGCTAAATCCGAATCTGGTCCTATAGTTTCTTCATCACATCAAGTTTTAAAGAAATTGTGCCGCCCTGAAGATGGATTTTTGCTCATATC